AATGAAGTTGTCTTCCATGATAACTTACAGTTTCAATCTGCGATTTTTTAGATTCCAATAATTTAAGTGTTCTTTTATAAGCTGTATTGACAAGATCACGTACCTAAATGAAAAAATTACTACATATAACTTAAGTCAAAAGAACAGAGAAGTAAAAAGCCATAAAAACCAATCCTTTACAAATCCGCAATCTTCTATAAACTTCACTTTTTATATTCTATTTGTTTCTATGTCTTCTTGAGGGATTAGACCAAGGTTGGTAACAACCATATGTTTTGACTAGATACGGAGCCATTCAATCATTTCTATACATTACTTGAATTAAATATTAAGAACAAATTTTCTTCTAACTTCTTGGTCAATAAGCTCAGCAGTAGTCTCAGAATACGGTTTCTGAAAAGTTGAACCCTCTGTAAATGATAACGGACCAACTTTCTTGCTCATACCGAACTTCACAATCTGTAAGTAAATTAGTCATCAAACAATGAACTGAATCGTATACCCTCACAAAGAGATAAAATTTCAAATTCAGTATAAATTAAGAATTTTCATTGGCTTTTTCAAAATAACTTCTAAATTACAAAGAAATTTCAAAATACAAATCGAAACCTGCGAATATGCCATCTCAGTAATCTTTTGCAAATCATCTTGTGCGCCTGTTGTAACACGTCCGAAAAAGATTTCTTCCGAAACACGTCCCCCTAACATCATACACATTCGATCCAAAAGTTGTTCAGTGGAATAAAGATACTGTTCCTTCGGTAAGTACTGCGCATATCCTAATCCCTTACCACGTGGTATTATTGAAACCTGTAAATGACTACTTTGTCGAAGTCACAACTTTGGAAGAATTTAATATATGTCAATTTAATTTTAAAAACATACTTTCAGCAATGGATCGGCATGCTTTAGAAACCAACCAGTAATCGCATGCCCTGCTTCATGAAACGCAACTATCTTTTTTTCTTCCGGCTGCAAAACTTGGCTTTTCTTCTCCATACCAGCAACAACTCTTTCGATAGCCTAAAATTTACTGATCCAAAGAAATATAAAATAAAAAGAATACTAGAAAATTTTAAAACACTGATTCAATAAAAGGAAATAATTTTTCATTACTTTATAGTGGCTCGAGGAGATGGACTAAAAAATCAACAAGTTATGGAGCCTAGTTTTACAACATCTAGAAGACAGAATATAACAAAATAATAACTTCGTTATGCAACGCTCACTTGTTCAAAATTTTTGAGGATAATTTCATTTCCTGCATCACGTGCTGCTACTAATGCGGCTTCATTACAGACATTTGCAACATCGGCTCCTGAAAATGACTTTATAGTCAAAAAACTAGTAATTATTTTATGGAATTCAGTGAAAATTATCTAATAATAAACCTGAAAATCCAGGAGTTAGAGCAGCTAACTTTCTTGAAAGCTCCACTTTATCCAGACTTGTCTTCAATTTCGCCAAATGAACACGAAATATAGAAGCCCTAAATAAATCAACTCTAAATGCCGAGAGTTTAAATTAATTTACAAGTTCTGTATATAACTCTTCACTATTCCTCTTGCCCTCTCTGTTTTTGACCTACCTCTTCCTTTGCATTCTTGCATTTACAATTCGTACAAAAAATCTCTTCAAAATTAACAATCATAAAGTTTTACCTTCCCTTGATGTCAGGTATAGGAATGAAGATCTGCCGATCAAACCGACCAGGCCTAAGTAGCGCTGCATCCAAAATATCGGGACGATTTGTAGCTGCGATTACAATAACCGATGATTCTTCAGTAGAGAAACCTTTAATTTTCTCAAAATGAAATAATATTCTCATAATAATTATTTGATAGACGATGTCTGAAATAATATTCTCATAATAATTATTTGATAGACGATGTCTGAACTAAATTACCATCCATTTCAACTAGCAGTTGATTGAGAGTATTTTCCTGTTCCGAATGCCCTCCAAATCGGCCTTCACCCCGCTTCCTTCCAACAGCATCTATTTCATCTGCAATGATATTAGTTCTTACAAGAAAGCTATCAATTTAATGTCCATCAAGTTCATGTCTTTGAAAGATAAACTAAAGAACAAGTTGTCACTCAAATGACTTCCTTACTATAAATTCAATTATATTTGAATTCAGTTATAAACGGAATCAAGTGGTACAAACAAAACATTGTGTTTTAATTCATACGGGTAATAACTAGATAAGAGGATATTTAGTCTTACTCATATGAATTTTATCATCAACTCGACAATATCAAACATATCTTAAAGCAAAATTTCATTTGATAATGCACATTGCCCCGCATTTTGTTACCAAGCAATAGTTTAAATGTGAATACACATATGTGTTTTGATTGATACTATCTTATTTCAGCTAGTATTAAGTCGATGAATCACCATTAAAGAACATAAAGACAAGTAAAAAAAGCAAACCGATAAATAATATGCAGGGTGCATTTTTGCGAGCCATGGAGAACATATCTCTGACACGCGCTGGTCCAACGCCCACAAACATTTCCAAAAATTCTGAACCACTGACTGTTATGAACGGCACATTTGCTTCACCAGCAGTCGCTTTAGCCAATAGTGTCTTTCCAGTTCCCGGTGGACCAGTTAAAACTGCACCCTGGATAGAAGAGAATCATCATTTTTAGGCAAATTGTTTCCTACGAAAACTTTTGAACAAAATTAATTTTCCTCTAACTTTAAAGTTCGTTGCTTAAATTTTGAATTCCAAAATATAAACAAGATGCAAAAATAAACTTGCCTTCGGTATTTTAGCACCAAGTTTCTTATATTGTTCTGGATTTTTCAGGAAATTAACGAACTCCATTATCTCTATTTTCGCTTCTTCACAACCAGCAACATCATTAAACTTTATATCGATGTCATTTTTATTAATCAATCTTGCTGTACTTTGTCCAAATCCAAACATATTAAATGGACCTCCACCACCAAAAGGATTCGCTCCCATACGACTGCCTGTAATGCCGTTGCCTAAATAAACCATAATAAACTAAAATATACTCGAGTTCTGAAGATAACAGAAAGTTCGAAAACCAAACCTGATGATCGTCTTGAGCTAAAAATCATTCTAATGATAGGCCACGCGAGCAGAAATAATATGGCCACAGGGATTAAATTGCTTATCATTGACCTAAAAAAACCTTCAACGTTTCAAACCAGACAAGTTTTGACTAAGTTTTTCCAGTGAGCATATTACTTACGTTGTGTCGACTGGATTATAAATAACGGTGACTTGATTTTCCGGAGTAATTCCAAGATGCTGTTGTGCGGCAGCCAAAGATCGTTCAAACGTATCTACACTGCCAATATAAAAGTATGGAGTGATCTATAACGGATACAATTAAAATGCAAACTCATTTGTTATAAATGAATAAAAATTTTATACACATATATTTATCTTATTCATATGTAATACGGATGTTTACATCAAACGTAACGAAAAAACTGCACTGTTTATATATTTTCACAAGAAATAAAACATTCGAAAAAATAAACGACTTACACCAACACTCGCATCCTCTCGTACTTTTACTTCAACCCACGTTCTGTGCACAATCAGTCGGTCAATCTGAATTTGAGAAATATAGCCCTCATAAAAAGAACCTAAAATTCGAAGTAAATATGTTCAGTTTTCAAAGAACAAACCAAACTATAGCATCTAAACTGAACACCAAATTATATGAATCTTAAACAAGTAGACCACTTACAATGCCTTTTTCCAAATATTCCGTGTAAAATTCCTTCCAGGATATTTCTTTACCTTTGTTTGCTACCAGAAAAAGTGCAGCAAATGCTGCTATGGCTGCTAAGACAGCTGACAACCTGAATAAATTTTTACAAACAATGATGAGTAATATAAGCAATTTATATATCACGTAAATAGTGCGAAAACTTTTAAAAAATAAATTAAAACCAACGGAGGCATCGGCATATCTGGTAAGCCAGAAGGACGTTTGCCTCGATTTGGGTTTTCAGACGGTTGATTGCCACTGCTTCCCTCAGAAGATTTACTAGCTTGTTTCTCATTTATTTCTTGACTGATTTTTCTTGCTGTCTTCAAATTTTTCTCGACTAAAATCAAAACTTGAATAAGTGGGCACCGACAGCTGATATATTTTTTAATAAAAATTAATACGTGACGAATGATTATTAAAGCTATTGAAAATAACCAAATCTATAGAGAACGAATATAACTGGAACAAATCCATTGGGGCAGTTCATAAATCAAAGCGATAAAAAGTATATATCGCAGTTTTCACAAGTAACGAAACTATTTAAAAAATGGATAACAAATATAATAATGGGATATAAGAAACTGTTTTGCTTGTTCAAAACAAGTAATCATATGATTATATTTTTTCTAATTTGTAGAAAAGATTAAATTTGAGCAAAAAATAAGTAAAATATAAGAAAAGGTAGCAATTAATATGGCAATGTCTATGTATAGCTAGTCTAGAAACGTTACGCCATCACTAATCACATATAATAATGACATTAACATTAAAAAGTTGGTTAGCTTTTTGAAATTTAGTAATCCAAGGGTTATAATCCACTAAATAAATGTTTGGTTCTGATGATTTTTATAAATGATGAGCGAAATAAGGTTCAGAAAACTTCAAAATATTTGATTCAAAAACTGTTAATA